TGATTGGTGTGGGAGGAAAACCCACACATGTTTGATGACCAGAAGTGGAGCACAAAGTCTTCTGTGAACAAGGCAAAACATTTTTTTTATACAGGGGACCATGAGCCAAGAAATGCAGGAATCCTCTAGAAACTGGGAAAGGCAAAAAAACAGATTCTACCCTACAGGTTCCAGAAAGTAGTGCAGCCCTGCAGACACCTTGATTTTAGCCCAGTGAGACCGATGTCAGGGAATTGTAAGATGATAAATTTGTGTTGTTTAAGCTACTAAATTTGTGATAATTTGTTACAGCAGCCATAGAAATCTAATACAGCTAAGTAAAAGAATTACAATGTGAAATTGAAAATACTGTATGATTCCAATTTTGTAAAGTTCTAGAATAGGCCAATATAATCTATGATGGAAAAAATCAGAACAGTGGTTACTTCTGGGAATGGGGGCGAGGGTTAACTGAGATGGGCTGAGGGAACCTCTGGGTTAATGGTAATGTTCTATATATTGACAGGGTCATGGTAACAAAAGTGTGTGCATTTGTCAAAACTCAGTTAATGGATACTTAAGGTCTGTGCATTTCATTGAATGTAAATATTACATCTAAGGTGAAAAATTATAGACAAATGTTAATCTAGTTAATAATATACATGATTAAGTATTTATGGGGAAGTGTAGAGATGTTGGCAATTTGTTTTGAAATGGGTCAAAAATAAGATGGCTCCATAGGGTTAGAGGGATGAATAAGTGGATAGCAAGATGATAAAAAATGCAAAGTAAAATGTTAATAGTGGAACCTACGTGATGAGTATTCAAGTGTTCACCACGAGATTCTTTCAACTTTGCGGTTTGAAATTGCTAATTTTTTAAAAAGGTAACAGGTTAGATCTACATAAAGAATATAAATAAAACTCTGAATCAGAAAACCCGATGCTTTGGGTCACTGGTTAGATCAGTGAGGAACCTTTCAAAATGCCCAAGCCTGAGGCTCCCAAGGATTTGATATAATTGGCCTGGGCCTGAATGATTTTTTTAAAACACTCAGGTGATTCTATTTTGTAACCAGGATTGAAAATCACTCTGATGGGGGAGGGGGAGAGAGGCAAGGAGAGAAATTTTTTTTAATTGTTCCCTTTGCATTATGGGATTATAGCTAAATTTTATTTCCTTTCTTATACCTATTTGTATTTTCCAAATTTTCTTCAATAACCGTGTATGCTATAATATTTAAAAAGTCATTTTTTAAAGCCCAAGGTCAATGCCAATGGCAGACTCATCACCATTGGTGGCGATGCTGGATCTTGCGTAGCCAGCGTGAGGACATGTGTAAAGCAAGGCAGAAGAGCCCGGGCTTAAGAGAACAAAGCCACTTGTTGGCACACTGTCCCAACAAGTTTCCAACCAACACAACCTGTTTTTTGCCAGTCTTATAAAAACACAGGCAATGTGACACTGGAATTTAAAGGTTTTTCATCTGAAGAGTTGCCTGAGGTCTCTGAGGGGAGAAATACAGTAACAGAAGAAACATCACTTGACGAGGAGACCCCACAGTAAGGAGTCCAGAAAGAAGAGGGGGAAGCAGCGTTGGGTTTGCTTGTTTGCGTGTCTGTCCTCTCCGCGTGGCAATGGTCCCCTCAAGGGGGGAGATGTCCCTTCTCATTTCTGCATGCCCAGTGCCGAGGGAAGGACGAATCAGCAGGTCCTCAGAAATGTTGAAGAAGCAGAGACTGAGGGCACCTGCCTCATAGCCTGGCTGCATAGTCAAGCGAAACTCACAAAACCCTTTCCCACTCAGCATTACTTTAGGGAGCCCCAATAGTCAGGGTGGTGGCCCCACTTTGCCAGTTTAACTTTGAGATTCAGAATGGTTAAGTGACTTGTCCTGGATCACCCAAATTTGTGGCAAAACAAAAACTTAAATCCATCTGTCTCTCATCCAGAATATTTCTTCATGCCTGCAGTCCTGGCTGAAGAACACTGAAATAAGAGACCTTCTGCCCTTTTCTGAAGAGAGGAAATAAGAGTAAAATTGACTGAGATCCTTATATCCTACTTCCCAGCAAACAGCGCCTGTAAAAGTGTTAGTCCTAAGAAAGTGTTGGCTGAAGGTCTCTCTGTTCTGAAAGAACAAGAAAACAGGATTGCTAAAATAACATCCTTCTGTTATCATCATTATTGCTCACTTTCTTCTGAAAGTATGACCTCTGCTTTGAGGGGGAAATGGGCAACTGAAGCAGCCCAAGAAGGATTACAGCACGTATTTTCATCTTTGTAAAGACTGGGCACGTTAAGCTCAGTGAGCGGGAGATAAACATAGTGCACACGCGTGCACATGTGCATGCACCCACACGTGGGAAGAACTGAAAACCGGCCTCGGCGTTGAGTACTGGGTTGAACGGTGTCCTCCCCAACATTCGGGTGCACCTGGAACCTGTGGAGCTGACTTTATTTGGAAATATAGTCTTTGCAGATGTCATAAAATGAGGTCATACTAGATTGGGGGGGCCTCATACAATGACTGGTGTCCTTATAAGAAGAGAGAACTTTGGACACAGACACACAGAGGAGGCCACGTGCAGACGGAGGCAGAGACTGGAGTGATGTGGCCACAAGCCGAGGGACTCCTGGGGCCACTAGAAGCTGGAAGAGGCAGGAAGGATCCTCACCTGGAGCATTAAGAGAGAGCACAGCTCTGCCCATACCTTGATTTGGGAGTTCTGGCCTCCAGGACTGGAAGAGATTAAATTCTCGTTATTTTAAGTCACCCAGTTTGTGGTAATTTGTTAGGACAGCCCTAGGAAACTAATACAAACAGGACCTCTTGTTCAAGCTACAGCTCCCATTCTTGTGTTAACTGACAGATTTGCAGTCTGGACATGCAAAGAAACAGTGAGTAAGAGCTAAAGCCTCAGCCCCGGGGCGTGTTCCTATAGCCATCGCTGCATCTTCTTCATTTTGACAAGAGCCTCTCTCCTTGCAGGCAGAGCCTAGTGTCTCACACAGTGTTGTCTAACAGATAACGTGGGTGGAAGCTGGCCTGATGCCCAGAGGACTAAGCTGATTCATCTCCAGAGAGTCCTGAATATTAGGAAGTCTAGTCCCAGCGTCACTCCCTGGGCAGAGGGACAGGGGACAGAGATGGTGGCAGAGGGAGCACAGAGGGGCTGCAGTTCTGAAAAGGCACAAAGATCGTTCACTTCTATCCCCTAGGCCTGTGGTCCATGTTTCATGGGCTAGCAGAGCCAAGACACAAGGACAGTCTCTTAGTCTGTCCTGAGCTGAGAAGATGTGCCACGTGTTTCCCTTCCAGAAGCATCTCTGGCTGGTGCCACCTGGAGGCTGAATCCCACCCAGAACTAAGTTTGACCTTTGCCAGATATTACTCACTGAGAACAGCTTTTGGTGGGTTTATGGAGAGACATGAGCAGGCCCCCCAATTTAATTTTTCCTCCCAGGGTTTAGAGAGGATATTCCGGGTCCATCACTAAATGTCCGTGTTCCAGGACACGACCGACACGAGATACTGAAACCAGAGACTCACCACCAGACAGAGAGCATTTCTCACGCCCACTTGCTAAATGTGGTCCTGTCGCTGGTTCTGGCCAATGCACGTGAAAGGGTGGCTGTCCTTTCCAGCAGAGGCATGGAGAGATGGCTGTGCCTTGGCCTCCGCTTCTCCCCCGACTGTTGGCTGGAGGTCTAAACCTGGGGTCACAGGGGCATCTGTGAACTCAAATGGGAAAAAAAATTACATTTTATTGTACTAACAACCTCTCCCGATATTCAGTATTTCCTTCAATTATGAATGCAGGTGAAAAAACACAGCAGCTGCATCAGGATGGGTGATTTTGCTACTCATAGAAATCACATTTTCCTGTTGCATTCTTTGTTATCCTATGTGCTTTATTAATGTATTTAAAAACATTACTCTGAGAAAAAGCCCCCTCATCAGACCACAAAAAGAGGACCGTGGCAGCAATAAAGATGAAGCCCAGCAATAAGGGGGCAGAGGGACAACGGAGCCAGCCCATATGGGCCCCTGGATCCCTGAGTCACAGTGTGGAATGCTGCCCAACAATGAGGAACATGGGTGCATCCACAAGTGAGGAATAAACTTGCAGTGTGGTAGTAGTGTGGCAAGCCACTGAGATGTTGGGGTCTATTCATTACAGTGGCTAGCATCACCCCAGCTGGTGCAGAAACATACAGGACAACAGAGGAGAGCATGAGTCTGCAGATGAGACTAGCCTGGTTCAGGCAGCGCAGCAGAGGCCTCCGCATTCTCTTTGCTGGCTCCTCTGCATCGCAGGACCATCCTGGGCGGGTGGAGGGAGATCTGTGCCTGGACCCTGAGTCGGGCGGAGTTGGCTGTTCCTCCTGCCGGTCTGCAGAGCTCTGCCGGCCCCTTCCTCAGCCCCACCCAACCTTTCTCTCGGTGACTCTCACTGCCAAAGACGTTTGGTCATTATCATCCTGGCCTTGGAAAGGAGGCCACGGGTCACGTTGTCTGCTGGCTTTGCAAGGGTGGTACGACAGTTGAAATGGCTGTAGAGCGATGCCCTTTCATGCAAGGGGATCCAGTGCTGTTTAACCAGCAGCTCTCTTCCCCACAGCTGACAGGCAGCCAAATCCATGAGAACACAGCCACGTGCCAGGAATGTTGAATCCAGGGGGAACTCAGAGTAGGAGGCTGTGAGGAAGAGCGAGTCGGGGAGACCTGGACCTCAGCCAGTGGCGAATGAGCTGCTCCCCTGACCAGGCCGGAACACATCACACCTGTCCCAGGGGCTTCTCAGCGAGTGACAGCTGCTAGACCTTTGAGACCTTAATACATGCCAGACACACTTCTAAGCCCTTCATATGCATTGACTCCCCCGCTACAGGTGAGGGAAGCCAGCCACAGTCAGGAAGCCAGTGCACCACAGGGCTGGGATTGAAACCCAGGACTCTGCATTCTCTCCTGATGCCCTGACACCCCTCCCTGCCTGTGGGCTCGTTGCTGGCCTCGCCCACCTGGCTCCGTCTATCCCTGCTGGTCTGACTCAACCTTTCAGCTGCTGTTGCAGGGGTCAGGAATATATCTGGCTCTGTGTCCCAGATCTAGACCCTAGTCCTGATCTGTCTGACTGGAGATGAGCACAGCAGTAAAGAAACTGCTGGGTGTTCCTTCAGAAGATGGGGGATGGGTGTTACATGGGCCAGGGGACTGCCCAGCTCTGTGGCCCTCGGTGTGTCACCTGAAACCACGCTTGTCACACTTCCTGGAGCACAGTAATCACCTGGGCCCCTGGTAAAAGGCCCTGGTAAAAGGCATAGGTCTAGGAAGGGCCCGAGACTCTGTGCGTCTGACCAGCTCCCGGCGACATTGCTGCTGCTGGCCCAGCCCACGCTGGAGTAACACAGACTGTGGGAACTGTTTCTCGTGACCTTTAACAGAAGCATGAGCATACCTGCCCAGCCCACCTCCCCAGGGTCCAGGGAGGAACAGCCGGAGGAGACACTGAATCATAAAGCACAGCTCATACCAAGGGACTCATTGCATGGGGACATTGTGGGTTCCTGCTGCTGGTCCCTATGGAACCAGAGGGGACATCTGAGCTCACAAGTGCCCACGGCAGGGGATGGCTGCCTGCCAGGCCCAAGAGGAAGAGGACAAAGACAGCAGGCACCATGGCAGGACACGAGCCCCAACAAGACACCACCCCGTCTGACGGTTCCCTCCTGGGCTCTCCACATGGGTGAAATGGGAGAGCAGCACAGCATGCTCCAGTGCCAGGGGGCAAAAGGATGCCAGGTACATCCTGGGGAGCATCTCAGCTAGGATGTAATTTAAGGATGAAAAAGTTATGGCGCTCGCCGTCTCTTCCTTGCTCCTTGAAGGTTATAACTTTAAATGAATGCCAGAGCCACTGAACACTGCCTGTGAATTCCAACAGAAGAAGAAACCCAAGTTACCCAGGCCTTCTGGTTTACCCAATCACGCAGCTCCGAGCAAACCATACAGCTGGCTGATAACACTGAGTACGGGACCCAATGGAAGGAAAACAGGAGCATTCTAATGGAGTTACTGTCTGGGGAGCTAAACTCGGGAATTCTAGCCTGATCCAAACTACACGTAGGCGTTAAACCCTCAGGTCACAGCTCCCAGAGCTGAGATTAAAAAGTACAGTGTGTGGCTCTCTGTGTTTTATGCCACAATACGTAATGTTCTATTTTGCTGGCCTGGCTTCTCCCTCCCTCTGCCCGCAGCCTTGGCTGTAGCCAGCGGGACGGGTACCACCGCGGCTGAGCGAGCTGGGTTTCCATGGAGGTGCAGCATGCAGCGCTGTCCCCAGCACACTCACACAGAGCTCTGCTCAGGATGCACACAAAAGCACCTCGCGTAACATCCACGCAGAAGAGCAAGGACATCCAAGGGTCTTGACCCTCTGAGACTCTGGAGGGTTTTGTGTAAAGAGATGTAGTTTTTTTCTGTTCTGGAAACCACAGAGACAGGGGCAGGGTAGATTCTCTACTCAAGAAATGAAATAGAATGTAGAGCGGAGAGAAGAGAGACACATGGGGGAAGGTGGACAATGAGTGTGAACTGCAATGTCCTCCATGGCCTCCTGTGCTCCATGGCACCATGCATGACCCCTGGCCTTCACCGCCCCATCACACTGAGTCATTTAAGCCTCTGTCTTTGATGGGCAGGAAGAGGGGGGACTACATTTCTCCTCTTCACCATGGTATCCTTACCCAGAGTAGGCACTCCGTGAACAGCTATTGAGTAAATCAAGCAATAAGCAGAGGTGAAACTGAAGGGGAAGTATAAGAGTTGCAGAGGACAGCAGTAGTACCCGACTCTCTCACTGGGAGATTTTCTATTACCATAAGTAATACACCCACAATGCACACATATGTGTTTTCTCCCATCAGAGAAACATAAAACATAACTCCATATGTATCTGATGTACATTTTCCCCCTAGCTTTCGTGTATTTTTTTCCTTAGGACATATGGGACACTCGGGTAAAACAATTTTCATCTAGGAATCCTGGCAACTCTCAGATTTATCTTCAGCTCTGAGCCTTCTGGAGAGCCCTTTTCCATTGCCTTTCAATCATTCCCAACAGAACTTCTGATGGCCCCTGAAACTCAGCACGTCCACAGTCACATGATCTCCTTCCACTCAACCAGCCCCTTGAACAGATTCTGAATTTCTGCAGTGGATAATAGTCCGCTCCAGCACTGGGATCCATCTTTGCCTTGTCTGTGCCTCCCACGTCATCAGGCCTGAGTCCTCTTGCTTCCTTCTTCACCATCTTTCCTCTGTGGTCTCATTCTGACATTTAATACCAGCTAAGACTTATCATGATCTCGGCATCTCAAGCTTATGGTCAGCAGACCTGGTTGCAGAGAATAATCCAAGAAAAGTATTCCTATAGATTCTGCAAATGGTTCTTTTCTTCTTTATTGAATTAATAATTTTGATTTTTGGAATTGCCATGGCAGCTGTCTCCCTGAATCATAAAACTTTCTCCCTTGCAATGACAATGATTGCTGCTGTGACTGTTTTTCTCATCGTTATTGGAGTGGTAAGCTTTGAAGAAGTATGCCAAAAGTCAGAGGAATTCACCACTCCCGACTAGAAGAATCATAGAGGTATAGAGTTGAACAGGTGGAAATTTAGGTTTGAGCAACAGAGAAACCAAGAGGCAGCACCTGCCTATCATCTTATCTGAAATCTAGATATCTTTAGGCCTTTGGACCTTTTTAAAGTCTCCTGAGCATTTTAAAAGGAATCAACATTGGCTTTTAAAAGGCTTAAAAAAACAATACACAAGTGCCCAACCTCTGGCTGGTGTATTTCCACCCACTACTAAGCAATCACTAGAGGTCTCAGCCTTGCATTCGTAAGTATCACCAGATTCTCATTCTGGAAACCTGGTTTTGATAATGCTACTTCCTGCTAAACTTCCAGTAACTGGCCCTGTTCAATTAAGGCCTCTTATTTCTTTCACCAGGCTTACACTCTTGTTCAAAAGTCTCCATTCCAGCCCAACTGTCTACGTCCTATCCCCTGCGCATGCCTTATTCATTTCCTGCTCTATGTTGTTGCTCACACTGTTCAGCCTTCCTAGGAGGTCCTGCCTTGCTTTCCCACCTGTCAACATCCTCCAAAGCCAGCTCAGATCCCCGTCTGATGCCATCTTTCCTTCCTCATTGTCTGCACCATTTATGGGGCGTTTCTCATTCCCTGCCTTGTACAGACTATAGTTTCTTCTGAATGTACTATTTGCCCACCTGTATTTTAAGCCCCTAAAGGGCTGGGACCATGTCTCATTTTCTTTGTGCCCTTTCCAATTCCTTAAGACAATGCCCTACTACATTAATTCATCGTGAAGATACTGTTAAGCATTCCCTGGGCATATCAGGACAAAAATGTCATTCACTCAGAAAAATTTGGCAACAAAATAAGGCAGAAAGCAGATAGGTCCTTCTCGGAGGCAGCGAGAAGTCTGAGTTATGTACACTTCAAGAGAATATATTCCATCATAATCAGCATGAATGAGTTAATTACAGCCACATTTCTTGAGCCTGTAGTTTACAGAAACTACGGCTTGTGAGCTGGATTTCCCTTTCTCATTGAATAATTACTCAACAAATGATTACATCTCAATCCCGACTCAGCTAAGCCCAAATTAATGAACTTATGATTGCTAACCATTAATAGTAACATTCAGGGTCCTTTTCTTCTTGTACGCAGATGCGTATCCCTCTACAGGAAGGGGGAACACAAAGGGCAACTTGACACTTTTGATGAAAACAGGAAAGCTACGGCCTTCCAGCTCTTCTGGCAAGTGGGGCTTATGGAGCGGGGCTGCAGTCCCAGGTGAAACACCCCTAGGGCCCCGGCATGCTCTGAACACCTCACAGGAGCCTCTGAGATTTCGAGATAGACAAAAGCTTTCTTTAGATTAAGGGATTAGATTCCCCTAAAATGACTTTGATTTGGACTCAGAGGCCCCGACTGGATTTGGTTTCTGGTATCAAATGAACGTTTGCATCCCCCAAAATTCATATGTTGAATCTTAACCCGCAATGTGATGGTGTCAGGAGGTGGGCCTGTGGGAGGTGATCAGGTCATGAAAGAGGAGCCCTCATGCATGGGATTAGTGCCTTTATAAAAGGGACCCCAGAAAGCCCCTTCCCCCCTCTGCCATTGAGGACACAGAGAGAAGATGGATGTCTACGAACCAGGAAGAAGGTCCCCACCAGAGACTGAATCTGCTGGCACCCTAATCTTGAACTTCCAGCCTCCAGAGCTGTGAGATGTAAACGTCTGTTGTTTGTAGGCCCCCAGTCTGTGGTGCCGTGTTACAGCAGCCTGAATGGACTGAGACGGCTCCCGCTCACATGGTTTGGGTGGTGTGTCCAGTGCACAGCAATGCTTTCTCAGTGGCCTCACCTCAACTGAATCGATGCCCACAATTTCTTTTTTTTGTGTGTGAGGAAGATCAGCCCTGAGCTAACATCCATGCCAATCCTCCTCTTTTTGCTGAGGAAGACCGGCCCTGAGCTAACATCTATTGCCAATCCTCCTCCTTTTTTACCTTTGTCTCCCCAAAGCCCCAGTAGATAGTTGTATGTCATAGTCGCACATCCTTCTAGTTGCTATATGTGGGACGCTGCCTCAGCATGGCCGGACAAGCAGTGCGTCGGTTCATGCCCAGGATCCAAACCCAGGCCGCCAGTAGCGGAGCACACTCACCCAACCGCTAAGCCATGGGGCCGGCCCCGATGCCCACAATTTCTGAACACGTCCAGTTGCTGGTTCATCCACAAGAAGTCAGTAAAAATGAGCACAGATGGTTATGTATCTGGAGAGATGAAAATTGTCATTGAGATGGGACAAATGGCAGCCAGGCTTTGGATTCAGACAGACCTGTGCTTGAATTTCTGGTCTGGCACTTATCATCCGTGTGGCCTGGGTCAGGTCCCCTCACCTTTTTGAGTTGCCATTGCCTCACCTGTCACAATATCTACTTAGCACTCAGACACGCTGTATGTTGTGAGATCAGGGATAAGACGTAGGGTGTCTGCTACACAATGAGCACTCAGTGGGTGCCAGTAACGCATTAATGATCAAAATCACAGAATTCATACAAAAAGGGCAAATAAAAAATTATAGCAACAGGATTAGAAGACCAAGGGAGCAGTGTGCATAATGAAGGGTATGGAAGAAACAGGAGGAGGTGCGAAGGCCCCTGTTGGCATGTGGACCAGGGAGCTGGGCCGGGACCGGGGGCTCTGGGAAGTATGCCCTCCAGAAGGACAGAGTCAGCAGTCCCGTGAGAGAGGAGGGGGCATGATGACAGCTCCTTAGAGTCTCCAACTAGAAGGAAAAGGAAGTCACTGGTCTCCTGAATGTGCCTGCTCCCAGAAGCAGAGGCTGAGAAAGAACCTCACTTCCATTGGAAGTGAGGGAGCAGAGAGCGTGTCAGAGCCACTAAACAGAGACGGAGCCGGCTGCACACTGGCTACAAATTTATGGAGCCTGGTTAACACTTCTATTGGCCTCTTGTCACCTTGCTTAGATGGAAATCTGGCTGAATGCTTTTCTTTAACACAGGTTAAGTGAATCCTAACAGATTGACTTTCTGTGGGTATATCTTAACTTAACACATCTAGCACTTTGCTAGTGCTGTCAACAGATTCTCATAGTCAATCTGCGAATCAAAGTAGACATCTTTCTTAAACTAAAAAACTGCTATTCGTAATACAAAAGATTTAAAACGAGACTTTAGTCACTAATTTCCTGAATGTTCCTCTCTGTTGGAGATCTTCATCCTCTGCTCCCTGCCCCGTATGTTTTACTTCCACCCTCCAAACTGCCTTCCCTACTTGGGGGTACTATCTAAGCATTGCTCTCAAACAATTGACTTAGGATTCTTAATTTTAAAATAGCCTTTGGAACTTCTCCATTTTCAATAAATAACATCATTATTGATTAGCGGGGACCCAAAAGTTCAGAGACAACTGTGTTTGTCTGGGGTCTCCTCTGCTTCATTTTGACCTATTGTTCAACAAACATCAATACAGAGCACGTAGCATACTCATCTAAGAGGAATACAGCACAGTCATAGGACCCCCGGGGGGTGGTGAAGCCGCAGTTACTGGTGGCACCTTCTGTGTCTGCTCTTGACCAAGGAGCAGCTGACGGGGGACCTGACAGCGGAGGGGGAGCGCTGGTGGAGGCCCAGGGTCAGTCTGAGAGTCCGCCTGGCCGTGGCCTTGCCCAGCCCTCTCATGACTCACAAAGGAATGACTGTCTCCCCGTCGCTAGCATCTCATTGGGGGTGAAAGCAACAGAAGATGGTATGTAAACAGCAGAACTGTCGTGTACTAAGGGTCTATCATGTCGAAATATGGAATTTTTCATACCCAGAAATTCTGCTTCCTTGGTCTCCCGCTCATGGAAGTTTCTGGGGTAAGCCAGAGAGGGAGAAGGAAATGTTTTCAAAATAAACACTGCCTGCCACACTAATCTGCTATGTGAGCTCTGAGAAGAGAGTGCACCTGGGAACTCGTCCTGGGAAACTAGGAGGCCAAATAAAAGGTGTGGTCCTCACCCGAATGCACAGAGCTGTATTCAGGGCTGCGTCTGCCTCGCTAGCTTTGCTGGCAGCCTTGGAGAGCCTTTCAGGCTCAAATGTAAGTGCTGTGATGAGATCTCTCCCAGTAGCTCAACCTTCCCGGAACCACTTTCCTACCAGGTCCTCCGGGCGACAAGCTCTCTACTCTGCTCAGCTGCCCCACGGGCTTCTAGCAGACATTCTCTCCTGCCGGAGGCTGGCGCGTCCCGCAGCAGTGCCCTGCGGCTTCCTGCTGCAGTCAGCACAAAAGCAGGAGATGTGGCAAAACAGATTATTTTTAAAAGGTGTTATCACAGCATCACAAAAATCCAGCACAGAGGGAACTAGAAATGACCTCTGGCGCTGCAGGAGGAGGCCATTCCACGGCCTTAGAGGCCTGCAGTCAGCTGGACCTCTGTGCGGTGGGGAGACATCTGAGGCAGGCTTCCGCGTTAATTCAACCCTCAGACGAGGCTCTTACCAGTCCTCTAGGTGGATTCGCACAGCAGATAATTGGGATGTAATTATTTGAGCATTAGTTGTTAGAACGCTTTTATTACTCAACATACATCATTTTCTTTCATCTTACTGCTTACATCTTACATGCTCTGCAAGAATTTTAGTACACAAACATGCACGTGCATGGACTTGATGGACTGTAAAAACGCAAACACCATGATGATTTAAAAGGTGGTAAAATTCCCTCCCTCCCTCTCTCCCACTTTTCCTCCCTCCCTCCTTCTGGGCTGTCGGAGCTCCTGCGGGGTGAGGAGACATCCCCGTCTGCCTGGGGGACAGCAGCAGGGACAGGAGATGGATTGATCAAACAAGTAAAAACACTGAGGATAATGGGAGCCAGGTTTATCGACATTAGAGAAAATTACAAATATGGAAAGGAGAAAATACCATAGTCTCTGCAGTGTTTGCTGGAATTGGAAGTGTTGGCCTGAACTCATGGTTTGCAATAAATATGGATCAATATAGAAATAACGTAGATGTCAATAGTAGAAAGGTAGCTTTCTCTTTGGAGATATGGCTGGTTCCAGCATTGGAAAGTGCAACAGGAGCTTGGGACACACTTTTGTGCCAGAAAGTGAGGAAATGCTCAAACAATGACGTGGACATGTGAATGGACCCAGGAGCCAGCCTGAAGCGCTCTACTGGCCAAATCGGGGGCTATTTGAGCATCAAAATAAATAATGAAAGTAATAGATGGGCCAGCCCCGTGGCTTAGCGGTTGAGTGCGCACACTCCGCTACTGGCGGCCCAGGTTCCGATCCCGGGCACGCACTGATGCACTGCTTCTCCGGCCTTGCTGAGGCTGCGTCCCACATACAGCAACTAGAAGGATGTGCAACTATGACATACAACTATCTACTGGGGCTTTGGGGAAAAAAAGGAGGAGGATTGGCAATAGATGTTAGCTCAGAGCCGGTCTTCCTCAACAAAAAAAAGAGGAGGATTAGCATGAATGTTAGCTCAGGGCTGATCCTCACAAAAAAAAAAAGAAAAAGAAAGTAATAGATTATAAGTCATGGAATAAAATAGGAAGCCTTGGGTCCATACTGACTTAAATGAATAAATTGAAACTATGATGAAGAATGGGATATTTACATAACTTCAGAGTCCATCTGCACACAAAATAGTTATTAATTACCAAGAAGAACCGAGAAACCCAACAGTGGAGAAGCTCACAGACACCAACCGGACCGGACATACGGAAATCAGACGCCGTCTGACAGGAGGCACAAGAGACCCAGCATCACTTCAGCGTGCACTTGACAAAGAGGCACGACCTGAGGAAATGTCAGAAGAGGCAGAGTGGAGGAACAGTCTACAAAATTACCTGCCTGTAACTTCACAAGTACCAAGGACATGAGGGTCGCAGGAGTCTTGAGGAATGTTCCAGATTGAAGGAAATAAGGGGCACGACCACTAAATGCAAGGAGGGATCCTGGGTAGATGCTTTTGCCTTAAAAGTGATGTTGGAGCAATTGGAGACAGAATGAGGTCTATGGATTGGGTGGCAGTGGAGTGTCAGGGTCAAGAGTATGTAAGAGACTGTCCTTCTCTCACATAGAGAAAACTCACCCCAAATGTTTGGGGGGGATGGGCATATGGCAGCAATTTACTCTCACCAGCTTCAGGGGGAAAAACACTCTTTGCACCATTCCTACAACTTTCCTATAACCTTAAAACTCTTTAAAAAGGAAAGAAACATGGTGTCAGGTGGCCGAGTGTGTTGGAATGACAAAGGGACAAGACTGGGAGGGAGGCTCACTGGGTCACCATGTACCTCAGCTCCAAATTTTGCCTGTTTCCACCTGTTCTGTTCATGTTGGTAGTAACATCTGTGTAGTAGGGTGCTCCAGAGAAACCTGGAGGTGTATAGGATTGATATAGATACATATAAGAGGGAGTTTATAACAGGAATTGGCTCATAGGACTATGGAGGCCGAGAAGTCCCACAATCTGCCGTCTACAGGCTACCAGGACAGCTAGTGGTATAATTCAGTCTGAGGCTGAAGGCCTGAGAACTAGGAGCTCCAATGTCCAAGGGCAGGAAAAGATGGGCATCCCAGTTCAAGGAGAGAGAGAGGAATTTCAACTTCCTTCAGCTATTTGCTCCATTTGGGCCCCCAACAGATTGAACGATGCCATCCACACTAGTGAAGGCACACCTCTCTACTCAGTCTACT